GAGAAAAAGGATTAGTACAGACAATATAGTTGTTAAATTTGGCTGGCTGATGTTGTCTTCTGGTTCTGAAGTCATGGGGGCAAAGAGGAGATGGTGTGTTTGTGGGAAAGCTGCCTTCATTTTCCGGTGTATATACGTTTGTATAAAAAGTTTAGGTGACTTTCTTTTGCTTCTTTCTTGTTTGCATGTTTAAAGATCTTTAGTTGTGTGATGCAACATTTCAATAACTGCTCTGTGATAACAGACTCTGTTTTAGTAGAACGCTGTATTGCTACAACTCAGGGGATTTGTGTAATTCTGAAAGCTTCACGGGGGAAAAAACCCTCTTAAATTGAAATGGACTACTTAGTTGTGTGTTACTTAATCTACTGAAGTTGAATATTAATTAGCATAATTCGAGCTTCTTCCCTCTTGACCGGTAGTTAGGGAAAAGTGTCCGTATGATGTATGAGACAACAAAAGGGCATATGCTACCTATTAAAAATGTGAAACTGTAAAATGGGTATTCCTTTAATAGGTATTGAAAACATCAAGGGTGGTTTTCCTGTTTAAGAATTAAAAAATTGTCTTTAAAAGATACTAGCATAGGTTTTATTATTAAAACCCACATTTTTAAAATAAAAATGCCTTATTAGGTGAACTGGATAGTGAAAGGAATAGCATAAATATGTGCCATATATGCATATACATCATGCTTTCAAAAGAGAAGCGTGTGCCATGGGAATACAAGCCCGTTTGTATTTCATGCTTGCCAAGCTGTGCTGTGCAGGCTTGGGTTGTGCTCTTCCATTGAGCTCGCCACGCTGGGAGCAGGTCTGCCACCGACACCTCTGCTCGCTCCATCACTGCCGTGGTGGGCTGCGCGGTGGGTGACGGGGCTGCGGGCACTGCAGGGGCACCGCGGCGGCGGGAGCTGCAGCCGGCCAGCCGGGGAAGGATGACATCACCTCCAGGAACATGTGATGCAGCCGGCTGGCGCGGAGGTTGCAGAGCTGTGTAGGGAGAGATTGGTGCAGATATTTATGGCATTTCATTTGAGTGCGGTAAATGTCTTTTTAATTTTTTTTTTAAATGAAATCCTCATAATCACAAATGTTTTGTGGTGTAGAGGCTTTAAAAAAGGCAGGGAGGACCCACCCCAAGCCCTTAAGACCTGCTTATATTGCTGTTTTTTTGTTTTATTATTGCTCTGTTGGAGATAAATATATGATACTTTCTTGCCGTATTCACCCTCTTTGCTCCCCAGCATGCTTTCATCAGTTGTAATCCCCACAGTCTTTTCAGTTAAGCTTTAACACTGCAGAACTGGAATAAAAAGAGGCTTTTTAGAGCAGCAGGAATATGATAATCCAAGGCAGTCAGCCTTAAGGATATGCAGATCCAGACCGTGAGCCAAGCACTAACTTATTTGCTAGGGTGTTTACCTTGAACAGCCCCTTAATAGTCAAAGAAATGTTAGCTAAATGTTTCTCGCTTCTTAGATGCCACAGGCAAAGCAAAATGTGCAGCTACTGCGCATCATCTGAGGTAAAGTAGTTTAAGGGCTTAGAAATCTGAACAAGCAAGCAAGTTGCAGTAACATCAGTGTCTTGGGTAATTTTGAGCTAAGATAGACAGCAAAGTACAGCAGTAGTTTCTGCATGCTTTTTAGGTGAGGAGAACGTGTTTTCTACCTCTAAATTTACTGTAAAGAAAAGGAATTGCCATGGTTGATATGAAAGCTGAGCATGCTAAATTGGCATTAAGCTTATGGTGGGTAGCTCAAAGCACGTTAAAAAAATTTAACTCTGGAAGTGTGCCTGTATGCCTTAGCAGTCAAGTGAAGCCCAAATATTTCAAGGCGGAAAAGGTATTTGCTGTCTTTTTAGATGAGTTATTTAAGCCCAAGGTTTTTCTTAAAGTCTTGTTTAAAGCTTTAGTCCATACTAAATGAAAACTTAGTAGGAACAAAACTGTAGGCAGTTTCAGTAAAAGGTTGATAACCCATAGCCAGTACCCTGGAGGAAGGAATAACGCAAGAGGTTCCTTTGGAACTGCCTTAGACTCCTGAGAGTCTAAGCGCAAACATGAAAGAAATGGCTGTGTCCCTCTGCTGCTTTGTCGGTCTGGAGTTGCTGTGAAATTGCAAAATATTGTCCATCGTGTAGAAACCTTCCACACAGCATGGTTACCCAAGGAACCAGTTTTCCTGGACTAGCCTTTCTGAGAACGTGTATTGAATTTTGGGTTTGTTTTTGGTTTATGGTGTTCCTGGTGTTGTGGTTTAACCTCAGCCGGCAACTAAGCACCCCCCAGCCGCTCGCTCTCTCCCCGCCAGTGGGATGGGGAAGAGAATTGGAAGGGCAAAAGTGAGGAAACTCATGGGTTGAGATAAAGACAGTTTAATAGGTAAAGCAAAAGCTGCGCACTCAAGCAAAGCAAAACAAGGAATTAATTCACTGCTTCCCATTGGCAGGCAGATGTCCAGCCATCTCCAGGAAAGCAGGGGTCTATCACGCGTAATGGTTACTTGGGAAGACAAACACCATCACTCCGAATGTCCCCCCCCTTCCTTCTTCTTCCCCCAGCTTTATATGCTGAGCATGACATCACATGGTATGGAATGTCCCTTTGGCCAGTTGGGGTCAGCTGTCCTGGCTGCGCCCCCTCCCAGCCCCCCATGCACCTCCAGCCTTCTCAGTCGGTAGAGCACGGGGAGCTGGAAAGGCCTTGACTAGTGTAAGCACTGCTTAGCAACAACTAAAACATCGGTGTGTTATCAACATTGTTCGCATCCTAAATCCAAAACACAGCACTGTACCAGCTACTAGGAAGAAAATTAACTCTATCCCAGCCAAAACCAGGACGCATGGAAAAACAGGGAACTAGGCAATGGCTGGAAGAGGATTTGTTTAGTTTTCTTTTGTTTGTAATCTGTGGGTACTGAGACAATGTCCTGGCTGAACACTTCAGTTACAGTGAACTGGAGGGACCCATTGCTGACAGACATTTGTCTAAATGCGTTTTTTAAAAATCCCCAGTCACGGATAGTCCGTAATCTTCCACAGGCAATCCCACGTGCCGCTTCACAGTTCTTTCCTTTACAAAACTTCCTGCCATCTAAAGTAAACCTCTCGCTGTAATTCTAGCCAGCTTACTTTTGCCACGACTAGACTTTATGTGTTTTGAGGACTGCTACCATGTCTCCCCTCAGTTCTTCAGACTAAACAGCATCATTCGGTTTAGTCCTTCATCGTAGTTCATGACATGTAAACACCTGGCCATCTTTGTCCCTCAGGTAGTCTGTTTTGGTGTGTCCTGGGTCTGTTTTGAAGGGTAATGCCCATAACTAGATACTGTAGTGGCACAGAAGTCTCAGTATTGCTGGCTGGAATAGAAAACCTGTGATGTAATTTACATACATGATACCCTTCTTATGTTACTTGATGACACTAGTATGATACCTTCAGGTTTTAGCTCTGAAGCGCACAGCTCTTTCGTTAAAGCTCAGAGCCTGAGACCAAAGGATATGAAACGTTTGGATATTGTTGAGGAGGAAGAGAAATGATGGCCTCCCTGCTGGGCATCAGTGACAGCTTCTGCTGCCATCTCTAGAGGGGTTGTAGCCCTTTTGCACAGAGGAGGAAAAATGTTTGTAGCCCTGGCACAGAGGAGGAACAATGTATGTTAGAAAAGACTGCCACATGTATACTAGAGCTTGCTCTTCTTATGGCCTCCCTGCTGGGCATCAATGACAGCTTCTGCTGCCATCTCTAGAGCGGTTGTAGCCCTTTTGCACAGAGGAAGAAAAATGTATGTTAGAAAAGACTGCCACATGTATACTAGAGCTTGCTCTTCTAAGATTTCCCTGAAACTATAAATAATTAAGAAGCTTATTTTACCTTCTAAATAGCTCAAACTGTTGCTTGTGAGGAACACAACTACTGTGTTGTAGCAGGCTATTTGGGCTGTCTTACTTAACAGCACTTCTGGGCTTCAACAGTGATAGAGAAATAAGTACTTCCCACTTACCCCAGGAGAGGTACTTTCTTCAGAAATGAGATTTTTAAAAAAGCACATGAATCCAAAGAGATGGGGAAGGATCATACAGACAGTTAGTTGAAGTGTGGGTACAAAACCACCCAATTTTTGTAAGTTGTACAAGATTGGCCCAAAAGGGACCAATTCTGTATTGTATAGGTCAATATGGAATATAAGGTCATAAATAAAATGCTTCCTAAATCTCCCTTATTGAAGAAGTGAGAAGGTTAGGATCTGGCCACAGAAATGTAATGGAAGTAGAGAGGAGGGACAAGCTGGTGATGTGCTGCTTTGCAACATTGGCTGTAATCACTCACCTTGGGGACTATTTCAAACTCCATGGGTGTATAGAGTTAACGTGACACAAAATGTGCTCTCTGTTACAAAATGCTGCTCCTGTCAGGCAGCAGAAGAGACACAGTTGAGAGCTTTATCTCCCAATTCTGCTTACAGAAGTGACGTAAGGAAAGTTGTATGTAAATAGTGCTGGGGTTTTTTGATGGGTCTTTTTGTGTGGTGTGTTTTGGGGGTTTGGGAATATTTTGGGGGTTTTTTTGGTTGGGTTTGTTTTGTTTTTTGAATGGTAATTGTTCTAAAGGTACCTACTCTTATTAGCTTGATAATACTCCTCTCTGCTGGAACAAAAAGTGAAAGTGGGATTCAGAATGCCTAAAAGCAACAAGATCCAACTGATAGTTTTTATTTACTGATGAAAAAGGCTAATTCCAATATCCTATTTTCTACCGAGGGTTACTAACAGGCCGTGCTGTTTGTGTTAAGCTAGTCAAAGCGATGACTTTTCATTAATATATTTTAAAAGTTTAGTTTATTTTTTTGCAACCTTTTACTGTAAGGTTATCTTAATTCCTGTGATCATAACATTCAGATTGTATTCCAAAGGTAAATGTTTTACAGTGCATTCATTAAATGTAGAAGCTGAGCTTGTCTGAATTTCTGACTAATTATCTGGTCTTTTCTTTTTTTCAGGGTTTCGCAAAAATGATGAAATGAAGGCTATGGAAGTGTTGCCAATTTTAAAGGAAAAAGTTGCATACCTTTCAGGTACAGCTATTTTCTTCTGTTGTGGAATGCATAACTGTGTTATTAGTCACATGTAAAATGGTATTTTAAATACTTTAAATATCATTACAAAAGTCATGGAAAGCTAGGGTAGCACCTATTCCAGCTGGATATCCCAAACATAACATGAGCATTGTGAAAGATCTGTAATAAAGAAGATTATGTGTTTTGTTGAATGTGGAACATACTGCTTGTTGTCATCCCGGTCGTGTCCTGTCCTGCCTGCATATCCAACAGCATTATTTAGAACAACCTAGAACAACCTGCTGTACCATAGTCATATTCCTTCGCTTATTTCTGGTTCTTCTGCTGGAGAGTTTTACAGAGATGGCTTTGTTACTGGCCCATCTGAAGCACTGGAGAAATACCTCTGTTGCAGAGGTGAAATTTCAGTGCATGTCTTTCAAAGCACACTTAATTACATCTTCGTGGTGAAAGGAGTTAGCATCTAATTTTTAGCTGTCTCCAGCATACACCTTGAAGTTGGTTAGTTACTTAATGAGGAATAGCAGAGGATTTAAAAGTGGGATTTAGATGAATGAATATCATAACATATTCTATAACTTGATAAGTAACTTTACTTGATGGAATGATGGCTGAGGTGCTTATTCTTGTGAACTGCATTTTGGTGTGACTTTCTGAAGTAAGTACTTCCAAATCTGTTGGGATTAAACATCATTCTTTTTGCCATAATCTTAGTGTCAAATGATTTAGAGGACAGTGTCGTATTTGAAAGGGTTTTTTTTGTTTGGATAAATAATTTGTCAAGAACTCCAAAAATAAAGCTCTTATCTGTAAATATTAAAACATACAAAATGATCCCTGAAACGGCACTCTTTAGAGATTTGCTGTGCATGGATGCTGATGCTTGCAAGTAGAGTGTGTGGTTCACAGTACTACATCCTGTCCACCCTGCTGAGTCAAGTAGAGGTGTTAGAACAAAAAAGATGGGGTTTTTTTGTTTTTTGGGGTTTTTTTAGAAGGTCCTGGCAACCACAATGAATGATATAACAGACTGCCCAGAGCGTTTTTGGGTTTTTTTTAGAAGGTCCTGGCAACTGCAATGAATGATATAACAGACTGCCCAGAGCCATTTTCCTTGGCAGTATGGGAACTCCCAATTCCTCTGCTTATGAATTGTAGTGCTGATGAAGGCTTGCTTAAAACTGGTATTTTCAGAGGGAAAGAAGAGGAGAAAAGGGAGTTAAGCACAATATTTCAATCCCTCATTACTCTTTTTTGGACCTTGCTTTATGGCACTTAATGAAAATGTAGTCAGTTTTCGTTCCAAAACCTCTGAATTTCCAGGTTGTCTTGAACTTAGTTTAGACCCCTTAGACGGGATCTGAAAGATGACAGGTGTTCTCTAATGTTAACTTGTAAGCATACGGCATTCTCAAAAGGCATTAATTCAGTGACAGTGAAGTGGGCCAAACGAAAGCTGAAGATAAATTTAAGGGGAGATGATGGATTATGAACCAGAGCAGATGAGGTGCAGGCAGGAAGAAGTGGTTGCCAATTTGCCTGTGTGAAGGTAGCGACTTCTGACAGAAGAATGGAGCAAACAGCTGTAGGCAGCAAGACTGGGCAGAACTGATCTGCTGAAATCCATAGTTTCACTTTTCCATTGCAAGTGGAGCTCAAATGAAATGAGATATGTTAGTAGTGCGAGTGATTTAAAAAAAAACAACCAAAAAACAACCCACAATAAAACAAACAAACAAAAAAGCCCCTAACAAAACTGCCACCACCACTAGGGCTTAACCATTGTGGAACTAGAACTGTCAAGCTTTATACCTGGGAACACAAAGGTAAGACAGACTGTTGGATTACTGACTTACAGAGGCTTTCAATGTACCTCATTTTTTTTTCTTCAAAAGTACAACTTTTGCTCGAGTACTTGGGTTTAATATTTGTAAGTACAATAACTGGTTAAGGTCTGTAGAAGTAGGACAAATTTATTGGGGATATCTCTACTAAAACTCTATATAAAAATAACTAAGTTATCTCTACTAAAAACTCTAATAGTCCCATTAAGCCTAAGGCATCCACAAACATCACTATAATTTTTGTATTTTGTTCTCCCTCATTTATCTTGGAGTTCTGGTAGAGTTGTTGCAACATGTTCATTGTTGATTGTCAAGTACCTTCTCAAGTAGAAAAAAAGTATGACAATCAACAGTGTAAAGAAATGGTTCTTTTTTATAGATCAGGAAAGTTATACAAATAACACAGTCTGAAAAAAATTCACAGAGTGTTTGAGATCCTCAGTTCAATTCCCCGGTCTTTTCTCTGCCTTTCTCTGCTGAGTCCTTCTTTCTCTAAGTTAAATGAGTAAGTATGGGCTGTATAGCAGTATATTCATCTTTGTGTTCTTAGAATACTAAAGACACTGATCTTTCCACAATGCTGACTTTCTTAAGCACTTCTTGAGACCAGCTTATTGTGAGATGGACATATAAGGGTGAGCCATCGTATGGGGAGACCTGGACAGGCTGGAAGAGTGGGCTAGCAAGAACAGTATCAAGTTTAACAGAGGCAAGCGCAGAGTCCTGCACCTGGGTCAGAATAACCAAATACACCAGTACAGGCTAGGGTCTGTGTGGCTGAAGAGCAGACTTGCTGGAAGGGGCCT